TATACACACACACACACATGTATATGAGTGAATTATTTCCTCTGAAAGATGGCAATGATTTACAACGTACCAACCAAAAACAGACTCTTACCTTCGGATAACAATACGGATAAATCAGATTGAGGCTCTGAAAACTTTCACCTGATTATTGAACAAAAAAAAAAAAAACCCAAGAAAACAAATTGAACCAATGACTACAAAAAGACGTACAGTATCTGTGAAAGGATGAAGACTTTTAACAAAGGCATCACAGTCCTTTGTTTTCAGACCCATTTGCAGGCAGGCAAGGAGACCAGGGTTTTCAAATAAAATAAATTATTAAACACAAAACAAAAGGCTGACGAGGCAGAAAAACTTACAAGCGAGGTGCGAACAAGAAGAGGACAGAATGGATCATCAGATAAACGGGTTCCGGACAGAACAGACCAGGAACAGGCAGAGGAGGAGGACCAGGCCGTCTGTAGGTTTACAGAGCAATGAGCGGACGTCTTACAGAGAGGTTTAAAGAAGGCTGGGGGAGATGATACTGACTGATCTGAAGCTCTCGACCTTGACCTCTCCAAGTGGCTTCAAACATCTGCTAAGTTCATGGCAAAAACCATTGCAGACATGTTCCTGCTTTTAGTTTTCTACATTGCCTTATAATCTAGCTGTTTTTGTTTCATTTTTTTAATACCATTTTATTTCATTTGTTTTTTTCAATTTTTACGTTTTCTTTTAAGATTGTTTACTGTTGTCTTTGTTGCCCACAGTTGTCATCACTCTTTGTTAAAACAGGTCTCTCTTGTAAATGATCCCAGAGCCTCACTGGGACTAACCTGTATTCATTAAGGTTGAAAGAATTGGAAACTTGTGCGACTGATTAGTGGCTGGAGAGAGCGGCTGAGGAATGAGTGAAGAACGACAGAGTCAAACACAAGGATCAGAAAGGGACATAAAGACCAAAGAAACACAAAGGAACAGATAATGTCTCATCTGACATATGCAGCTATCCCTCTGCTGTTCACAAACAAATCTGTGCTGCCAGTTTTATAAGGACAAACAAAACGCTGTTATTATGAACATGCTGTAAAGCCTCTTGACTTTATTACCATTAACAATACATTTAAATTGAACTGCATAAAACAGTTTTTACATAATCCTACATCTAAGTGAACTTTACACTCAAATACGTTTTGTCTACCACTGAAAGCCTTGAATATGTTTGTCTATGTGACTGTAAAACAGAAAAACTTCCCGTTTGGTTAAACAGTTTCATAAACAAATGTTGTTGGCATGGTGTTTAATGTATAAACTTTATTTTTTCCATATTAAAGTTTCATTTGGAACAATCAGTACATCAAATTGAAGTATAAATCTGTTTTTGAGAACAACGTTGTTCTAGTAACTCTGCTGCTTCAAACCACTGGTGACCCTGTAATCCCATGGATTAGGATGGATGGATGATGGATTGAGTATAGATGTATGCATGGATGGAGGATAGATGAATGATGGATGGATGGATGATGGATGCATGGATGGATGGATGATGGATGCATGCATGCATCCATTATCTTGCTTTTTCCATTTTGGGTCACGGGGGTCGCCGGTGCCTATGTCCAGCAACCACTGTGCGAGGGGCGGGGGACACATTGGACGGGTCTCCAGTCCATCACAGGGACACATAGAGACAAACAACCATTTACTGTCTCTCTCACCTAGAAACAATTTAGAGTCACCAATCAACCTAACGTGCATGTTTTTGGTCTGTACTCGGAGAAAAACCACGCATGCACGGAGAGAACATGCAAACTCCACCCATGGACCTGTTCTCTGAGGGGCAGCAGCTCGACCAGTTGCGTCACCGTGCTGCCCGTGCATGGATGGACAGACGTACAAAATAGGATCTACTTTATTAAAAATGTTCCGTGGGAGGAAAAAAGATTTTATGCTCAATCATCCAGGTAGATAACAACAAAAAAGGTTCAATCAAAGAACGCCCCCTCCACAACAGCGCTCGGTTTGTCACCTTTTCCTTTTCCACTGAGTTTGCAGGTACAGGTGTAAGCTCCACCCCCTGCCCGCTTACTTCCTGTTTGTAGAGAAACTCGCAGACGTTGAGCTTTGGTCCGGCAGGTATGAGTCTGGATCTTTCTGAACCGTGTCCACACACCTGCTGATCCAAAGACAAGGGGGACTGGACCAGGACAAAAACCGAAACCAGAACTTCTACAGAGAGCAGGTCCAGCGAAGTTTGAGGACCTCCAGCGGAGCCGGAGGGACTGGACTGCCTTCAGACCAGTTCCAGAGCAGAACCGATCCGTTTGGACCGACGGGGTTCTGATGATGGTGAACGCAAAAGTGTTGACTTCAGTTCTGTTCGTCCTAGTTCTGCTGGGGTGAGTTTAGTCCTGGTTCTGCTGCAGGAACAATACGTGTGTGCGCGCGCGCGTGTGTGCAGGAAGTAAAAATATTTAAGACAGGTGTTCATGAACTCTAAAACATGGAGACCAGATGATCCAGTTATTTAAGGCAGTTTGTTTTTAGACCAGTCCGACATGATTTGTGATTCTGTTCCATCCATCCATCCATCCATCCATCCATCCATCCATCCATCCATCCATCTATCTATCTATCTATCTATCTATCTATCTATCTATCTATCTATCTATCTATCTATCTATCTATCTATCTATCTATCTATCTATCTATCTATCTATCTATCTATCTATCTATCTATCTATCTATCTATCTATC